TTTTTCCCCACCCTTGACAACTAAAAGAGTCCGTCTCTTCACCCCCAAAATTCCCCCAGCAGCCTCCCGCTGGCTGGGGAATTCTGGGAGTTGAAGTCCAGACATCTTCAAGTTGCCAAGGTTGAGAAACACTGCTCTAAAGGATAGGATAATAGACCTATGGACAAAGCTGCTGCTTTCCCTTCAGGCTGCCAGTGTGTGATGCTCTTTCGCTGATTTCTGTGACTCAGGCCGAGACTGAAACAATGCATCCAGTCTCAGATAACTATAGGGAGCTTCCCAAATTCTGAGGTTCTCCCTTCCCAAATAATTTGCAATGGGTTGGCTCTAAATCGCCAAGGCAAATCACACGTTGCAAAGGCCAAGGGAAGATAGATCTATTTTTACTCAGAATTCCTTCTCTATCTTATCGCTTGGCTGTTGCGTGACCTGATGACGGAAGGGCTTGCTCTCGGCCTGGTGCTTTCTTTTTTAAATAGGCGGAGATGTCCTTGGAGTAGGAAGGATTTTCTGGGTGAAACATCAGGGAAACTCTTGAGCTGGTTTCTCAGCAGTCGGACTTCAGTATGGGAATTGCCCTCTGATCCTCCAACGGCAGGTGTGAAAATGTGGGCTCGTCCCTTGACGAGCTGAGCCCCAATGAGCAGCTTGACCCAAGCAGTGAAGCTTGTCTGTTCATTAAAACCCAAGTTTTGGCAGAAAGTTTGATTCCTGGAGGCTCAACTCCGTAAGGAAGACTAAAGAACAGAGGCTGTCTCTGAGGCTAAACGGAGAGGTGAGAACTTGGGGATTTCCTCTTTTGCAAATGACACCATGCTGATATTTTGGATGGATGGCTGACTTTTAATAACTGTATGGTAGGCAAAGGATCCACTAGCGGAACCAGGAAGAAATTGCAATCTTTGTCTCTGGGTTTGATTGTTTAAAAAACTGCACAAATATGGATCATGGTCAAGGAAATAGAGACTTCTCTTAATGTCCAAGGTAAACAACTGAACCAGATTGGGCATGAATTTGATGGAAAAATGGAGCATCCCAAGTGGAAACTTGGATCTATTCAATTAATTCCTTTGTTGAGTCTTTATCAGCAATCTAAAGCAGGAAGGTCTATCATAATGGGAGAGATTAGACTAGATATCTTTGATCTTTCCTTCTGCTCTGATTAAATAGCTTATCCTCTCTGCCATGTGTTCACACTATACTTGAGGCAGAGGGCGTGGTTCTCATACTAGAAGGCATGCATATACAGTAGCTTTTCCACCATGAAGGAAGACCAGTCCAAATCCAGCATCTTTGAGCAGACATGATGGGGTCCAATAATGACCTCATCCATGCCTGCTCCCCTTCCTAAAGACGCAAAAGATTCCATTGCCCAAATGGCTTTGTACAAGCAGTCCTCAACCTATGACCAAGCTGGGACCAGAATTTCCAGTGCTAAGCAAGGTAGTTGTTGAGTGAGTCATTGCCCAATTGTATAGGCTTCTGTGCCCCATTCTTAAGCAAATCCAGCTTCCCCTAATGAGTTTAGTCATTGGAATTTGGCTGGGAAGGTCCCAAGGGGCAATCACACGACCTTAGGATGCTACAAACTGTCATAAATATAGGCTGGTTGCCGAGCGCCTGAATTTTGACCAGGTGACCATGGGATGTTGCCAAGTATGAGGACCAGTTGTATGTTACTTTTTTCAGTGCTGTTGTAACTTTGAACAGTTGCTAAATGGATATAAGTAGAGGACTACCTGTAGGATTTCCACTGCCCTCTAATAGAAGGAAAGGTTATCTCAGGAGTAACAGAATTGGAAGGGACCTTGGAGGTCTTCTAATCCAACCCCCTGCTCAGGCGGGAAACTCTATACTATTTCAGACAAATGGTTGTCCAGTTTCTTCTTAAAATCTCCAATGTTGGAGCATCCACAACTTCTGGAGGAAAATTGTTCCACTAATTAATCATTCTCACTGCCAGGAAATTTGTCCTTGGTTCTAGGTTGGTTCTCTCCTTGATTAGTTTCCATGCATTGCTTCTTGTCCTACCTTCAGGTGCTTTGGAGAACAGCTTGACCCCCCTCTTCTTTGTGCCAACCCCATTAATGCCAACCTGACCCATTGTGCAAGATTTTGGAGATCCTGAGGCTACTATTTCAATAGTAGCCTCTCTTGACATATTGATTTTTAGTATTCCTCCAAAAATGTAACTTCTAGAAAGGGAATTGATTCTATAGATGGGTCATCAAATGAACAGTGTTTATACCATTTCATGTTAATTCAATCAATAAAATGAATTACAGGCTGAGCGGGGCTTGGTCCAAAATAGGACCTCTCTTGGCTCAATCCCCATCACATACTTTATTGCAGACCTCTTTCTCACGTACACCTACCTACAGACAAGGCATGGGTGGAAAAAAATACAACTTTCAGCCGAAATCAGGAGGAGAGGGAAAGAGGAAAATATGTGAATTTGTGATTTGCACATCAGGCTAACCCATAAAATGGCTGGCTGGCTTGGAGTTTAGTGTAATGTGCATCTGCAGGCAGGTAGAGCTTATTGAATAAGTTGTGGTTGTACAATGGCCTGGTGGGATGGTGAAGCTCACCTAGGTGAGAACCTCCAAATGAACCAAATAGGAAGCAACTTGAATGGACTATGAGCAGAATATGAAGGAACTGTTGCCTTCTCAGTCTGAGAAGAACAAAAGGAGGAATATTCTGTGGGTCTAGTGATCCTCTTGACTTCAGGCCTTCCCACTTTTTTTTTTTTGCATTTCCCTTTTCTTTGTACATCAGTGTTGTTGGGGTTGGTCTAATGCTGGCTTTTTATTTCTTTCTCTCTCTTTTTTTTACACTGCTCGTTTCTGATTCTGGAGCATTTGGGCTGACTTCTTGGGTTTTTATTTTGTACATTTGTAAATATTTGTATGTTGAATGTTTGGATGTACATTTTTAAACTTGAAAAAGCTGCAAGCCAAGCCATGTTTGGAAAAGTGCCCCTAATGCATTGGGGGTATTTTTAAAAAAAATTGGGAATACGGAGGGAGGTGGGAGGAGAGAAATGAATCAAAACTTATGATAACATAAAGTCCCTATTCCAGTCAAAGGAAGCCAGAGCGGAGTGGGGGGAAATTATCTCAGTGAGTCAACTGTTCCTCCCGATTTTAAAATTTCATACAGTATATATGTACTACGGTTGCTGTTTTTTCTTGTTACTTATTCCCAGGGCTGTGTGTAATCTGCACTGAATAAACATATGCACCAAATCTCCACCAAAAAGAGTTGCATTCTCTGAATTACCTGAGAAAGCCAGTTTGATCTAGTTGTTAAGGCACCAGGCTAAAAACTAGGCGACTGAGTTCTAGCCCTGCTTTAGACATGAAAGATGGCTGGGTGACCTTTAGCCAATCACCAGGAGACTGTGAACTCTAGTCCTGCCTTAGCCATGAAAATCAGCTAGGGAATTTTGGGTCAGGAAGGTAATGGCAAATCTTGCCAAGAAAACTGAAAGGATTTTCCAAGCAATTACCAGGAATCAAAAATGACTTACA